AACAACCAAAATACCTGAGCAAGCTTAGAGGACATTGATCATCTTCCCTTTTACATTAAAAAAAAATCCTCCAGAGAGTGACCTCACACTCTTCAGGCACACAACACAAACACAGATAGAAAACCACCCACAGCTTCTCCACTTGCTTTCCTAATTTCCCTTTCTCTCTTAGAACATGCTACTAGACCGAATGCATCCCTGAAAAAGAGCCATTCGGCCCCCTTTCGGGCAGCAGTGGGCCAAATCAGATTCTCTGATCTGATTCAGCCCGCTGCTAAAAGCAGTCACCGAAATTTGGCGGCGGCCCACAAAGGGGTGCCCGGTCATTCAGCCAGCCGAATCAAATTTGGGCCGAATTTTTTTCTTTTCACTAAGGAATCCTTCAAAAGAACATTCAGATTCATATTTTTCCTATCCAATAGTGCCCTGTCTTCTAACACCTTTAAACTGAGCAGAAACATAGGTCCAGTTCACACATAGCCATTTCTTACCCTGATATCATTTCTGTTTAGGAAATCCCAAATATGCACTAGTATTTGTGACATGCCATTTCTCCGCAGAAATGGGATGCCCGTCGGGGTATCCCACAACAGATTTGGATGGCAAGACACATGTGTGCTCATTGTACACAACAGTATGCATATGGTGTACATGAAATTGCCTACATGGAAAAGAGATCACTTCAGTAAATCGTTCATGTTTGAAGTGGGCTGAGCAGCACATAAACTTGTAATACAGATGACAGGAAGCTATTGGGAGGAAAAGGAAAATCTTTTTTCAAAAAAAAATCAGTTCAGTCATGTTGCAGCTGTTCTGTATATAGTATAAAATAGATTTTAATATGACTGAAGGCTGCTGAATTACTCTTCATGCTACTTCTAACACCTTGAGGTAAAAAAGCACAGTAACTCCCCCCCCCCTTTCTCTTCTAGGGCTTCTAATAAGGCACATTCAACTTCAGCGAACAATTACACCAGGTTTCAAAGCAGCCTGTTGGTTTTATATCAGCAATGGCATATTTACACCACAGCCCATAAACCACTTTCATAGTCACGCAGGTGTTCCAGGGAGTCCTTGGAACTTTAGCTGGAGATGAGAAGAGAGTAGAGAAATCTTTAAAACTTCGCCACTACCTTCATGTAAATACAAATCCCAGAATTCTTTAGGGAAGCCCATGACAGTTAAAGTGGTAGAAATCCAGACCATTTCCATACACATGCAAACTGCCGCATTGGCATTCTTAAATCATCAGTGTTTGTCAAACTTTCTGCCCAATTTTTGGCAGCTCCAGGCGTACTTCTGAGTTTACTGCTCTGTTATACCGTGTTTTCTGGATCCACTTTTCCTGCATTTTTTTCCTTTGGGTATTAACTTGCAGTTTACAAGTGTGGAATTCCCAAAACCAAATTTTGATTCCCACCACCTTTGTGTGGTGTCAGCATCACATGTATACCCCACCCCCACCCAAGTCACATGAACAATAGACTGATTTTTAAGCGTAGTTTTAATGGCATTACATTGGCCCCGGTCACACGGGCCAGATAACATGGGGGGGGGGAAGGCGTGGCTGTTCACCCCGGAACAAAATAAAGCATGGTAACCTGATCACATGGTCCCCCAAGTCTCCATGCTTAGCCTGTTAGCTGGTGATCACACGGCAATGCTGCAGCATGGCAAATAAGTGTCGCGGTGCGATCACACCAGTGTTTCGTGTTTGTGCACATGTGAAGTTCCGCGGAGCAGCACTGCTTTCAGTTATGTGTTTGTGTGCATGCGCTTACAAAAAACATCTGGTTTGCAACGGGACGTGGACGGGCACCGGATGCCACGGGATACTAGTGCTCCCGAGATCCGATGCCCGCCTGTGCCACACATTTTCCAGATACTAGTGCACTTTCCTTGGTACTTTTTAACTCTGCATCTTCGGTGGGACGCCACGGGTTGGCCATGAGTGCGCTACGCTTCCCAGATGTTGTGGTGTGATCGCGCCCCGAAAATCCACCCGACATTTGTGCCTTTCGCACAGCAAATTCTCCGTGTGACCAGGGCCAGTGCTGATTTTTTAAAAACTTAATAACATCATTAAACCGTGAGGTTTAATGTAGCTTTCTCCATGCAATTACCCATCTATGAAATTTCTTTCCTTTTTTTGTCAGCAGGTTTTGTTGACTCGTCCTTGTATGGTTTCTTCATTCTCCCCTCCCCACCCCCCTATTCTCTTCCCCTATAGCTCCTGGTGTGTTTTCAGTCTTTTAAACATCTGGAAATAATGAAATTATATAACTGATCTGATAATCATGGAAACTAAACATGTGCAGTGTTTCCATTTCGTGTGCTTCATAATTATTGAATAACACTGTTATGAATTGGTGTATCCAGATTGATGATAGCAAACTGAATACTATTTTCATCAGGATTTTGTGGGAATTTTTGCTGGCACATTCTCTTAGTTGGTGACTGAGCAGGGGACCTTTGAAATGGCGGCAACCATGCTGTTCCCCACCATACATCCAGCCTTTTTTTTTACAATGTTATGATGTTATAACATTACTGCACATGTGCAAAAAAAGGAGGTTCTGTCACTAAGGAAGTACATGATGACACATTTAGCATGTTTCATAATTACTGAGTAACACCTTTATGAATTGGTGTAACCAGTTTGACAATTATGATCAGAATACTAATTTCATTAGGAATTTGGGGGAATCTTCACTAGCCATTTTCTTAGTTGGTGACTACGGAGGAGCAGGAGACCTTTGAAATGGCGGCAACCATGCTGTTCCCCCCCCTACATCCAGCCTGTTAAAAAAACTATGTTATGATGCTATAACATGACTGCACATGTGCAAAAAAATAAAAGGGGGTTCCATCGCTGAGGAGGTACATGAAAATATATTTAGTGTACTTCATAATGACTGAATAACACTGTTATTAATTGGTGTATCCAGTTCAACAATCGCTGGTCATGGTGGCAACCATGTTGCTCCCTACGACAATGCTATAATGTTCTAATGTTACTGTACATACACACACAAAAAGGAAGTTCCATTGCTGACAAAGTACGTGATATCGCAGCTGCATAACCCCTTTTCAAAGGAAGTGCAGAATACACGGGGAGGGTCAGATCCGAATTCAAGAAAAAAAAATCCTCGAAATAAATGCCCTTTTGCGGAAGGGGTGCTGCAAAGTTGGAGCATCAGCTGGGGATTCAACTCATCGGGAAACGGTGGTAACACTGAGGTGCAGAAAAGGACCAAGTATACATTTGCAGGCTAGTCAGATATGTTGTTCCCTAAATGTTTGGATTTGTATGTGTTCCCCCCCCCCAACTCAAAAACAAATGGGCCAGAAGATCTACTTGTTTGCACTGGGTAAATCTATCGCCCAGTTACACCACCATCCCATCCTGACTACATCATGGTCCCAATCCTACATTCCATGCCGATTCAATAAGTTCTGACCCTTACGTTCACACCTTGTGCAAGATCCAGGCTATAGGGGTTTCCTTTTTGTCAACCGAATTATTCCTTTTTTAATGGAGCAACTTTCTTTAGAAGTAATTAGAGATGAGTGAAGCACACCTCCCCCCTGTTGCACAACTGAAGAAAATTTCATGACAGACCTGAAAACTACAAACTCATCACTGTTATTTCAAAGATGAAGAGCTATACCAATCTGTACAGCATCAGAACACAGATCGATACGACATAACACAATACTGGATGGCTGCTTACAGAGCGGCTTACAAACTCCTTTCCCTTCCCCTCCCCACAACAGACACCCTGTGAGGTAGGTGGGGCTGAGAGAGCTCTTGACAGAAACTTCCCTTTCAATTACAGCTCTTGTCAGAACTATGGCTTGCCCATGGTCATCCAGCAGCTGCAAGTGGAGGAGTGGGGAATCAAACCCGGTTCTCCCAGATTAGAGTCTGCACACTTAACCACGACACCAAACTGGAGTTGATCAGAAAAGTTTTGTAACACTTGTGTGAAAATCAGACACACATACAACCACACACGAAAAAAAAAGGAATAGTGAATCAGAAGCCAGCATAACTTCTAAATACACCAGCAGCTGAAGAAGCAACTGTTTAGGCATCATCATGTCATGAATGTAGCTATCATAATAACATCATCATCTTTTAAAATAATCCATAGTTCCCCCCAAAAAATAGATGTTATACGGAAATATTTCATACTGGGTAAACATGTTTTAGTTTATATTTCTTTATATATGCCTCCCAATGTTGATGCTAGGTGGAAGACAAATTGGGTCACAAATGCATAAAAATAGAGTTTTTAGGACAGACTATGAATAATCTGAGAATAAGGACCTACAAGTGCAACAATGCAGTAATTTAACAACCTTGCAGTGGTCTGAACTGGGGAAGATGACATTTCTGGAATACAGAACAACATAAGCTTGGGGGAGGGAGAGCATCACCAAATCTAGAACACATTGAATCTATAGAAAAGGAACTTTGAGACAGATCTGCATCTTCATTACATTGCTGTAAAAACGGAAGCCATCCCATTAAAGACAGATGAATGGCTTTTAAATGCATTGACAAACTGTAACCAAATAATACACACACATGCGCACGCACACAGCCTTCTTCAAAGCCCTTGGCACTGTATATGCACTGATGACTGTACCATGATTCTGATGCTGAGTCACATCTATAATACAAAATTGGACCATGTCCTTTTCGCTGAGCAAAGCAAAAGTCCCATCTTCTGACCCCACAGCAAAAGGCTCTCTGCTTTCTCTCTCTTAAACACTCCGAGACTGATTTCACACAAGAGCTGCGCCGCAGTCACGCCTCCATTTGCCCCACTTCTATTGGTCAATTTCCCACTCGAAGCCTTCACCCAATTTTCCCCATGGTTTCGTGATCCTGTTTTTTGAGGCTCATGAAACCGCAGGGAAAATTGGGTGAAGCCGCGGGTCAAAATGTGGCTGTGCGGCTTCAAGTGGGAAATTGACCAATAGAAGCGGGGCAAAGGGAGGCCACGACCGTGGCACAGCTCTTGTGTGAAATCGGTCTCAAAGTGTTCTCCAAGTAAGAGGCCTGCTAGAGTGGGTTTTTTTAAAAAGTCATTTATCTTGACTTCCCATGCTTTGCTAAAAGCAGCTTATATTTTATAAGATCATTAAATGTAGCAATCCCACATTATATGCCAGTGCAATGGGAGGAAGCCTGTCCTAGGAGTCCCTTCAAGGAAAAAAAAAAACACAAAAAAAAACCAAGCCAAAGAGCAACCTGGAAATAACTAAATGCAGCCACAAAAGGATCTGAGGAGGTCTCTAGCTGCACCCAGAATTCAAGTAAAGTTTATCCTTTTTAGGAATCAGTTATGGGCAAAGAAACCTCTTGCTTTTGATAGGACCATTGTTCACCTTGAAAATCGCCTAGCAAGTTGCTCACTTATAACAATATGCAAAACAGCAAACACACACAAGTGATAAAAGCAGAAAGAATCCCAGTACATGTTATATCAGCAGTTTCAAACTTCCTGCTAGGAGAACTTTCTTCTACCTCTGTCATGTGACCTCTGGGTATTGCAGAGGATTCTGGGTCATATTTCTTGCATTCACATTCAGTTCACATGAGATCCAGCATAAATTGAGAGGGCAGCACAGAGTAGACCCAAAATTCTTCTGTGGTTGTACACTTTGGGAAAAGAAGGCAGGAAAGTTTGCCCTCTTTTCCTGCCTTCTCATTAGGGGCCTTGGGATTCCATGGCATACCATGGAAAACCACAAAGGAACACTACCGCCAAACTGTGATTTAAAGGGAAGAAATATCAACACCAACTAGCTATTTTAAATAATAATAATAATAATAATAATAATAATAATACTAAAGCCCTATTACTTCACTTTCCCTTCTGATCACATCAGCCACCGCACTGGCAAGTGAGTGTAGCAATTGTGGCATAAGGAGGGCTTCCCCCCCCCTTTGCAAATGTCAATGGTGCCCACAGAGCCAGAGAGTTACAGGGTGTAGCAGCAGGGGACAGATTGCCATATCATGGACAGCCACCACTGTCAGAGCAGCACAAGGGAGATCAGGCATGGCATTGGGATCCTCCCACCTTGCCTCTGCAGCCTCCTAAAAGGCATCCCAGCTAACACAGAGCCCGCTACACAGCCACAATTGTATGCCCTTGTGGTATTATAATGGAGCACCCAATGGCGGGTTCTACAACCAGGTAGACTTGACAAGCAACAGGGCACCACAATATAGCTAGAAAACCTCTAGAAATCACTGTACATTGTTGCAGCTACCTGTAAGGTTCAGGTTGTCCGGCACAACTGCCCCCTGTCCATGGGATGAAACAGGTGAATCGCATTTTGCCTGCAGAATTCTCCAACTGTAAACAAAAGTAATAACTTCTCCTAATTCTCCCGCCCACATTCCAAGCTACAATAAAATATTCTTTTTTAAAAAAAAAAAAATCTAATAACCTGTTTATAGTTTTTGAAAAAGAACTTTTAGGGTTGTTTTTTTTAAGGACACAAAGCAGCACGTGCCAATGTAAAATCACATGGCAGAAGGAGCTTTGGATCAAGCACGGTTTTACTAATTACGCTGTCTGATATGCACTCACAGGTAACTTTGTTTGCATTTAAATGTATAAAATCACAGTTCTTGTTACATTTTCCAAAGGGAGGAACACACACACACCCCATATATATATATACGTAAAAATTGTAATTTGTGAACACTGTACACTACATTTTTTCCCCCAACAGCAGGACAGGCATTGGGCTTATGGCTGCAGGTCTGAATAATTGCAGGGTCAGAGATCTGGGGGATGCCACATAAGCAACCTTAGCCACAAGACAGGTTGACCTCACTTTCCCACAGGGTAAACTTCAGTGTGTAGTTTCAGGAAAACTGGACAGTTAATATTTCAGGGCTCATGATGCTGCATACCTTCATTCTATTTTACACAAAATTGCTCAGCCACGTAGGTTAACAACTTTCTGAATAGCAACACTGTTCAAATCAAAAGGAAAAAGGATGTTTCCCACCTGCCTTTCTTTATTACCTATATATTCGATAATAACACTCTGAATTCAATGTATTTCTAAAACCTTGTTTTCTGTGAAGAGCACAACTTTTAGGCTTTTGTTCCTTTAAATTTTTCTCCTTTTTTTCAGGCTTCTCTGGGAGAGGGGAGGAAAGACTTCTTGCTTTCTGCTGCAGAGAAGCTACCTAGTAGCTCCAGGATTCATTGCACTCGTTCTGTGAAATTCTCTGGGAAAACTCCTCGGCATTGGTCAAATTCTTTGTGCTGCAGCCAATCAGATTCTTTCACACCCATCAGCCATCCTTCATCCTGTCACAGAAAAAGTGAGGGTTGAGAGAAATAATTTGTGCATGCAGTTTGAGCAGCGAACAGGAAGACTCAGTTGTTACTTTATTGAAGATGGGTTTACAAATTCTCCCCCACCCCACCCCCATATTTTGTTGCCCACTGGCAAACCTTATCTTAAGAAGGTGGTTGTTAGGCTGTACACACTTCAGACTCAAAAGCTACATGCCACTGACTACACTGAGCTGAAGCGATCCAGCTTTGCAACATGAGCCTTCTATTCCATGTGTGACACCAAAACATACCCTTTAGGTTTTCCTGGAAGGGTCATGCTAAATCACTCAGTTTATCTACAGTCGAATCTGCATTTGCATTTTTAAATTAGTTTCATGCTGCTGTGACGCCTCTCTACGCTTGTTTGAATGTTGTTTGGAGAAGATTCTTTTAAAGCAGTGCAGAGGTGCAATGACAGTGGAGCCACCACCAGAGGGTGATAAACATAATATGTGGACGTGCAAAAGTATGCTAGCTCCGTTGAGATGTGAAAATGGCACCAAATGTAGACAGCTTTTTTGAAGACGGAGTCAGAAGGCTGGGACACCGGTGGGAAAGACAAATGCAGATTCAGCCTACATCTCAGTTCCAAATTTACTGAAAACACACTACACACAGGTATTCCCCAATCCCAGCTGAATTTTTCAAGTGCTGCTCCAACATTTGCCCTTACCTTGATGGCCCAAGCGAGACTGATCTCTTCAGATCTCAGAAACTATGGTTGGTACCTGGACAAGAGACCACCAAGGAAGTCCAGGGTTGCTATGCAGAGGCAGGCAATGGTGAACCACCTCCGGTTCTCTCTTGCCTTGAAAATCCTATGAGGCTGCTACAAATCAGCTGTGACTAGGCATAATCTTATACCACTGTTCCCCCACCTTCCTTTACTCAAAAGATTGGTTGATAATTCTCAAATCTAGATTAAAGGCACAATGAGCGATCCTCTGAAAATGGGACGGGATTGTAACGTACAGCTAATGGCAGCCACTTTGGGAAGGTGCCATAGTAATTTCACTATAGATTGAGAGAAGTGGCCAGTCCACAGAGCTTATTACTACATTCCCACCTTCTATGCAAAGCAAATGTGATGGGTACAGCCAGGCTGACAATTATCAGGTAGCCCTGTCATAAGTCTGGAATGTGGAGGGGTGCCCTCCCGTTTTCTGTCTCAGCTCTGGCTCACCAACTGTTTCCTATCTTTTGCTTCACCTTGTAGATGCTACAGCTGCAGTTTGACTCGGCTGGGAAAGTTAACGGCTTTTTGCTTTGCCCGCTTGCTTTGGCCGCCCGCGCGAGATGTATCCATTGGCTCATGCTTACCGGGGGGATGTTTGATTCTACTATAACTCAGAGGTCCTTGTAGAGGCGGCCATTCCTGACACAAGCTGTATACATGTCTCTAGTACTGGATTTACCAATAAACAGCTATCTTCTTATGAAGCCCTGTGTTGTGTAACCTGACTAAGGACCCTGACAACAATTACCTTTCATTATTTGTAACACAGCATCATGTGCTAATTAACTGTTACATCAGTTCTTGGAGCATGTCTTAACATTTCATTGAAGGTTTATTGCAAAGCACCACTCACATGCTTGTCATCAACCCCTTCTTCCCACAAATACATCAACCAGTGGGGCTGGTATTATCGTCCAGACCTCCTATCATTCAATGGGTTTTTTTAAGAACGGACTAAAACAGAGAAGAGAAGGAAGTGATCGTTGCCAGACAGAACTACTTCTCCCACCAGACTTAATGCTGGTGTGTAATTGCATGGACAACATGGAGGGAGGAGACAGAATTTGCTTGAAGGTAAATGCATTCTAATTTGATATGCGAAGTAAACACATTAAAAGGCTCTCTCAGCTAAGAGGAGATGTCTTGTATTGGTTCTCTCAATTCTTGCTTGCTCACTTGCTTTGGGAAGAGAGTTTGCTTCAGAACCAAAACAATAAAGACTAGCACTAAAAACAGGATCACAATGCCATCTGCTGGGCAACTCATTTGTAACATCTCAAAACCCAGAAAGATACTTCAGTTTCAGACATTTCCCTCCACATGGCTTAAAGTGGCGGCTGCTTCAATAAACTTGGTAATGCTGATGGGCTGGAATGCCCATGTCCATTATAAACATCTCACATGTATCCCTGTAAACAATCATGCACCATTAATTTAAATAGCTGGAGGAAGGCTCAAATTGCACATCCTTTCCATACCTGCTCCTCAGGGTTGTCAAATGGAATCACCAGGACAACATCCCCAGTCTTCAACTGTAGCTCATCACTGTCAGTGGCTGCATAGTCATGCATGGCTTGTACCTGCAAAGGAATAACGATTCTGCTGAGGCAAAGAGATCTTTGGAGAGCCTTTGATTTACCTCATACACAAGTGCTTCACGTTTTTGCAGAGCTGCAGCCCAGCTATATACCAAACAAATGTGTGCCAGGTTAAATATCTCCCTATTGTGGCATATATTTAAACCAGGGAAGTTCAACAGTAGGATAAGTATCTCTGGGAGGTATAAATGATGGATGACAGGAATAGCTATGCTTTATTTTGGCTCCTTAACCAAGTTCCTTAGAAGAAGGAAGTATTGCAGTGTATTTGTTCATGGGCCAATAGCCAAAGCCTCAGAAAAGCTGCAACACAAATTTGTTTTGATTCCTGTTTACAATTTAGCACACCTTTAGGTCAATATAAAAGGGCATTTGCCACTTGTAATATGGGAATAACCATGCTGTACAGTTGTACATATTCTGAAATAATGTATATAAGTCGCTTTGTTCATTTGTAAAAGAAACATATTTTGTTATTTCAATAACACTTTGCATACTAGAAAGTATTCTACAGTTCTTATCTCATTTCATCTCACAACACCACCACGAAGAAAATTAAGCAGAGAGAGAGAGAGATTGAACATTCGTCCTAGGAAGATCCACAGACAGGTTCTCCTTACTTACCTTAAACAGGAAACCTGGTGGCATGTCAGCTCTCTCCAAGGGGGCTCCACCTTCAACTGTTCCATTGACTGTGGCTGGGAAGGTCTCCACAACTACTGCAGGCAAAGAACTCTAAAAAGGGACAGAAAGATGAGGTAAAAGACACTGAGGTAAAATGGAACACTTAAAACAGTGGCTTCCAATTGATGAAAAGCACAGGGAATCTGACTTGATTTCTTCCTCAAAACAGCCATGAGTGGGTCTTTTATTTAAAATCCCTTGGGTTTTTCTTTCCCCCTGCCATGGTGCACATGGCTTATGGCCAAAGTAACAACTAAGGTGAAGAAAACCATTAATGACAAGATGGGAATAAAAAGGAACAAGAGAAGGTGGCAAATATTAGGTGGAAAGCGGGGTTTACAAAGATTAGGGGAACAAATGGCATGTTCTGCCAAAAGAGTTCAAGCAGGGAGAGGTTTACAGCAGTAGGCAGAAGTTCTTTTCTTGCCATGATCTAACATTGTTATTTGTGTTCCTCTTGGGTGACTTGGTTTGCCTCAGCATACTTTTTGTGGCTTCTGGTCAGATTTTTTTTCAGTATTAGTCAGAGAGCATAGTTAGAGGAAGGATAAACTGGCCAAGCTTTTGTTTTGGGTTCTACGCCATTTTCTTTTTTATTTTATTTTCTTTTGAAAAAACCCTTAGCCTTCTGTACCTTACCAAGAGGAATTTGTTAGAACAATTGAAGGCTATTGTTCTCCTAGTACTTCTGGCCACATGAAAACGGCGGGATGACTGCTGGAAGAGAAGGGTGAATATCCTAACTAATTTGGGCCTCCTGAGACCACTGCAAGGTGCTCAGCTGTATGTGTCAAGGGGAAGAGGGAAGGCCATCTGTGGATCATATTGAAGGTGTAGGGTTGCCAAGTCGAACTTACCTAATAGCGGGGGGAGTCCTGTCCCTGGCTGGGAGTCTTCTTGCGCACGCGCTGTGATGACGCCACCCAGAAGTGACGTTATCGCGTCGGGCCCATTGGGGCGGGGCCACAATCATTCAAGGGAAAACCATAGAGTTTTTCCTCGAATAATAGAGCGTCCCCCGGTAACGTGCCTGATGTGATGACGTCACCCCCGGGTGGCGTCTTCACACCACGCACGTCGCAGACTTTGGGGGTGGGGTTCCCCCTGCCGGCCCAATCCGGCCCGGCGGGGAATGGGCCTCTCGAACGGGGGTTTCCCCGCCCCCCAGGGGGACCTGGCAACCCTAATTAAGGGGCTTTTTCAGTAGGCATGCTGAGATTGTATCTTCATGGTCCTAGTTGAAGATTAGAACAAATGCTAGAACATTCCAGCCTGAATGAGTTCCTATACGACTTTTCTAGGGGGAGAGGCATAGAGAGCAATCTAGTTTGTCCCTCCAAGCCAGGAGGAAATGACCCCCCTCCCCCTCCCTTGCCTACATTCTTACTGAGGCAGATCCTGAGTCAGTTTCGGTTTTAGCTGCTTCAGCTCCAGCTTCGTTGCCCGCTGCCTCAGCACCAGCAGGAGCGGCTTCTGTGGACTGCAACACAAAAGCCAGTTAAAATCCCTGCCATTTCAGTGTGCTGAGGCAAATACATGACTTTTTGAAGACCTGTCACAACCACCCCAAATTTTAGGGCTTGCCTGAACTTTGGGCCAGCAGCAAACTGAGTCTGATCACTTAGCTGAACCACAGCATCTACACAGGAGATATTTGGGTAGCCATGCCAGGCACTCCCAGTTTATGGGCTGGCTGGCACAATTCAAAACGCACCACTTCAGTGAGGAGCAAAACAGCCCTGGCTAGAACATCACCTGACGTTTACCCTTTATTAGGCTGCACTCATCTGTCTCCAGGCTTTTCGAAGCATTAAGCTTACAGGAGGCTCACCTTTTCTCATCCTCCACCATGACATATCACCTGTCAATAAATGTCTATCGGCTAGCTACACAGAACAAGCTGCTCATCCTCTGCACACAAGAACAAATGACACTAAAACTGACTAAAAAAAAAGGCAACACTCAGAAACGCCTGTAGGGGGACATTTCAAGCTACCACAACACCGTCGCAGGCCTGAGAGTCACCGATTCTCGATGAGAAGAACTTCAAGAGAAGATGGTGGTGTGAAATGACTGCCGCTCTGAGTAGTCAATGGGTACTTCTTATACATTTGAGCTTTGTATAGAAATGTAACACAGTCCGCACTCCTTACACCAATTCGCAGCATTCAGATTCACAGACTTACTTATTCTGACATAAGAGCCCTCCACACATGAACCCTCCATTTGTTGACTGAATAGGCAGAGAGGGAGAACAGGCACAAGCACATTGGCCCGCCTCATGATCACTGGCTCATGGCTATAGGCAGGGCTTTCTTTGTAGAAAAAGCCCAGCAGGAACTCATTAGCATAATAGGCCACACCCCATGCCATCTCTTGGGGAGCCCGGGCAAGCCACCCCTTGGACAGGCTGGGGAAGGCACGGGGAGGCATTTAAATGACTCCCTGATCCTTCCAGGCCTGCCCCTGGCCCACCTGCCTCGGAGTCACTGGGGGGGGGGGTTCACTCTCAAGGCCTTCCCTCTCTAGCAGCGCACGCAGAGGTTTTGGCTGTAGTGGGCATGGCCAGCTCTGAAGCCAGCTGGAACTCCATTTCTGTGCATTCCTGCCCAAAAATAGCCCTGGCTATAGGGCCTATGTATAGAGGCAGTGTCCAAGCGTGCACTCCCTCCTCCGATTGGCTATGTTAGGAAAGCAGCATCCCAAATCATGGGGGGGGGGAGTACATGTGGACACTGGCTCCTGACATACATGCCATGCTCGCAAGCCAGCCGTCTGGGGAGATGGGGCCGGGGTCAGAGCTCTCATGCCCAATCTTCCTCTCTTTAAGACGTCACACAACTCCTCACTGTTTCTTTTTCATGAAGTATCATTCGTAGTTTCAGGAAATTAAGCTTACATTCATATTAAAAAGCTGACTGAGGCAACAATACCTTCGTCTTGGTCTGGTCTTGCTGCTAGATTTGAGATCTGACGCAAGGCAAAAGGGCACCAAAGAAATACCCAGCACACACCTTTTGCACTGTTGTCGATTATTGTTGTTCATTATCTGTAGCATCCATGCGTGTAATGGTACTGCCTCAAGACTCACATTTCACAGTGTACAAAATGTTTAAATGTGGTCCACAGACAACAAAATTCCTGCCATGTCAACAAGAATAGAGAAGCCCTGACCTTGACAGCCCAGGCAAGCCCGATCTCGTTAGATCTCGGAAGCTAAGCAAGGTTGACTCTGGCAAGTACTTGGATGGGAGACCTCCTTGGAACACCAGGGCCGGGAGGCAGGGGCAGGCTTTATTCAGCCACCTCTCTGAATATCCTACATGCCCCCAGTAGGGATCAGTCACCAAAAGTCACCATGACTTCCAGGTGCATGCACACACGCACACGCACACGCACATAAAAATACCAAAAAAATAACTAGGAAGAAAACATTGAAGCTATGAACTTTAGTTTGACAATAAACTTACCTACAACAGACCCTGCCTTTTGGACACAGAATAAATAGCTGGCATAGAACACACTCAGCACCAGTTAGGAGTAGGAGGCCAGACTGGAATATGGCACAAGCCCCACTGTTCAGTTATGTCAAACATGCCTGAGCTAGAGTTCACTGCATCACAGACAAGCCCTAAAGTGGACAGTGAGTTCCCTTTCCCATCAGAAAGAAAAGAATATCAACGGCTACCCTGGGGAAAGGCCACCCAATTCTCTGTATCAACATATTCTCCTCCAGGGATGATACAATCCTCAGTATCAGTTTGGCTTATAAGATTCACTTACTGAGGCAAAAACTGCTTTGGAGGAAAGCCCAAGATGCATCCCAATTCCTCCAAAGCAAACAATGCCAGTTTTCTCAACAACATTACATGGTGCAAGAAGAAAATGGAACATCAGCTGGTATAAGCTACATCTAACACAATTCTTTCCTCATTTACAGCAGTTTATTACATCCAGTACAAAGATGCCAACATCTGGAACCTAGAATAGTACAATACATAAATTCAAGTCCAAAGATTTCCAAAGAGTCTGGCTTCAACTTCGTTTTGAGATGGCTGGGAAGGTCTGGATGGAAGGGGAGGGGGGTTAAACCTCATCCCCTTCCAAGGCTTGCCCACGCACCCCACAGCTGCAGGGCGCGTGGGCAAGCCGGCTCCTTGGATGGAAGGGGACGGGGTCTAAACCCCCTCCCCTTCCAAGGCTTGCCCTCGCACCCTGCGACTGCAGGGCGCGCAGGCAAGCCAGCGCCTGAGGTGGAAGGGGAGGGGATTTAAACCCCATCCTCTTCCAAGGCTTGCCCACCTGCCCTGCAGCTGCAGGGCAGGTGGGCAAGCTGGCACTTAGATGGGCTGCTGGGAGCAGGGGGCGGGGCTTTGTCATGTGCCCGCCCCCGGGCTCCTCACTCCCAGAGCACCGCTCCTGTGCGCTCCGGAGGTCTGCATTCCAGTGTTGTGTCACACAATCAAACTTCTGGACTTAACCCCTTGATACTGGGACTACCCCAGTCACAGTTTATCGTTGTCATTGTTCTCTGAATAGCCCAGCTATTCAGCCAAGACTGAAATTGCCCAACGCCTTACAAACAAAGTCTTTCCTTCCCAAACCTGGACTTCTTTTGTCCAAAACTAGACTGGTTATAGTAGACTGGTTTAGGATTGCTCATTCAGAAACCTTCAGGTTGAAAGATATAAATCCTTTTAAAATATGTATAAATAAATAATAGCTCTTTATTTCTTTTTCTGACCCAGAACATATATTTTTCACCAAGCCCTGCACCAAGATGAATTTTGACTATGTAAACTACGATAATTAATTCTATCTCTACAGTATTTTAGCATTTTTATTAAACCTTTTAAAATTCAGTCTTTAATGAGCCCCCTCCAGAGGGCTTTGTGCCAGTTTAAAATAATTCTATCAATCTAAAAAATAGCCGTTTAGAATATTACAATACTGTATAGAAGTCAGCCATTAAAAGCCATCCCAAACAAGGTTTTAAAGCACTTCTGGAAAATGTTAAGGCTCAAACCTTGGTGATACTGTAGAGGAAGTGAATTCCAAAGCTGTAGAGCAGACACCAAGTGTGCTAGCGTACTTTTGTGGTACAAACTTGGTGCAATCCACTAGGATATTATCCTGAGCAGATCACTTCCGAAGAGACTGGAGATGTACAAAAATTCCTCTGTACCTCTCTGTTTAATTCCTACAGGACTCATGCAGGAGATGTTTTCTGGTAGGCATTGGAGCATTCATGAGCATTTTGCAATGTCCTTCAAAATTACTGTGGCTCAGTTCAAACATAACATGAGGCCATGATTTAATTAAACTTTGATTAGTGTGCCTAACTGAATGCTGGCCATTCTACTGATTAATTAGGGTCTCTCAAACCAGGATCTGAAACCATAGTTTGAAGTTGAATAACTAAACCAAAGTTAGTCTTAGCTATGGTTTTGTGCAATGTATGAATGAAACCATGCTGACTTAACCCTGGCTGGTTTCTTAGCACTGCTTTTACTCATCCCTGAATATTGAGATGCCTGGCCAAAGCAAAGATGAAACCACCATTGGATGATCATCTGTAAACCAAATCCTGTTTTCATAAGGTAACCCTGGTTTTGGATCTGAACTAAGCCCATGAAAAGTTCACTCTTAAAGTTAGAGGTGGCCCAACCCATTAACAGTTCTATATGCTTATGTCATATCTGAACAGCACGGGAGCTGCTTTCTTGGGTCTTTTTACCATGTGACAATAGTATAGGATTCCACCACAACCCAGAAAGCATGAAAATATGTAATGGATATAGCAGTTCACTGACTGGAATGTATCAGATTTTTTCTGCTACTTTTCAAAAATCAAAAAGCCAATTCCACCCTTTGTTTTCAGCCTTAATTTCAACACAAAGCATATTTTTTTTTTACTGTATATCATGTGGTTATGTTTGATGCACGGGTGCAAATAATGACTGTAATTTGGGGCTAATTTCAATGGGGAAAAGGTGGGGGTGGGAATTGGGTGATATGTGAAATTGAATTTTGAAAGAAGAAGTGACTTCAGAGAGTGAGGTGGGTTTGGGGCAGTGCCCTCAAAGTGACATCACAGGAAGGGGTGGTGTTTTGGTGCAGTGTTCTGGAATTGACATCATTGGAAGGAGTGGAGCATGGGAAGTGACATCATTTGACTGCTGACCTGGAAGTGACATCACAAAAGTGATGTCACAACCTTGCTCCTGGCTCCACCCCCAAAGACCCCAGATATTCTTTGAGTAGGACCTGGCAACCCTAAGTTATTACCAGCCATCATGGCCCATTCTGGACCATTTCCCTATAGTGCCAATTGCCCTGAAGGCAAAATTTCCCTGTATCTGGGCTTCAAACCCAGGCATCTCCTGGGACGCATACCAGCTGGATCCCCCATCTCTTTTGGGTCTTCACGGACATGCTTGCCAGCCAAGCAGTCTGCTCCCCTTTACCACGGAATCTTCT